TTAAGATGATGGTAAAAATTTTACAGGTTATAATTCAAAATGTTTTGAAAAATTTTCAGAATGAATCAAAAAAAATCTGAAAGGTTTCAGATTTTAAATTACATCCAAAGGGGTGTTTTTTTAACGTTTTGTGTGTTACCTTTATTTATTAAATATGTTATTTGCACTTAAACCATAAAATTCAGTTCAACAGCAATGTCACAAAACAATTTTAAAATGATACACAATTCCGTGCACTGGAGATAAAAAGGTTCCCCCTCCTCCGTAGAGTGTAGCTATTGCTCGCTTTTAAATCATTGAGTTTGTTAATAAAAATTCGAAGTTTTACAAAATGTGAAATCGACAATAAAACAAATTTGGGCTTTCAGATGCCCATATTCGCAGTAGGATTACATCATTCAAAATTCGATGGTTCTAGGCTAACGTTGTTTTATTGCAATGAGAGAAACATGCATACATTTATGCAGATTCTTCATTATTTAATTTCTTCAAATATAATACAGGGTGATAATTTTTGGTAGCAATGATTTGAAAAGTGATACAGCCTTTTAAAGTTTTCAACACGAAACGAAAACAATAGTTCTTCAGGGACAAAGCCCCTTTGGACTAAGAATGGGTGAATTTTATTTGGAATGAATCAAAATTTCAAAATGTGAAAGGAAGAATTAAAAAAGTTTAATAAAAAAGAGGCATTAATAAATATATAACTAAACTCAGTGGCATAACAGCCCTAATGGGCCAAGGCCTGCAGTGCCCAAAATCTGCTTTCTTGACCATGGTCCCCGGGGTACATAAGCGTATGCCCTGACAGCTTGTTGCAGGACTCCCCAGTGTTTAGTCCCCAAGCGAACTTGGTACTCATTTTATCGACCCAAGTGATGAAAATCAAGGTATAAAAGGCTGAGTTGACCTTGCCCAGGCCAGGAATTGAACCCCAGACCTGTGGTGCCACTGCACCAACGAGCCTTTAATCAATATATACCAAATTCAATTAACATGAAGGACCTAATTTTTTAAAAACTACTTGTGTGATTTTTGTAAAATTTGGCAGTGTGGCATAATTTGAGTCGTAGAAACAAAATATAGAAAAACATTGGTATGTAAAAGTCAGATGTTGGATAAAAATACCTATGTTAGAATAATGCTATATATAAATATAATATATACCCTAAGTCACGCTTCTGAGACATGAAAAATGCAAGTTGAATTTCATTAATTGGCCCAGTAGAACGGGAAATATAGAGTTGTCCCTTCCTTCCCCCACACACACACAGTCTACCTTTAAGTAGACCTATAATTCTGACCAGAGAAACAAGATTGCAATTTAGACATTTAACATTTCAGTTGTTCCACTTCACCAGTTTCAAATCAGACACTGAATTTCATCATTAGTAAATTGTGGTAAAGTGAATAAAGTTGATGAAGGAAAAAAATAATAAGTTGCATCAATTTGACCAAGTGAGAGAAAAATATGCCTCACACAATGTCTACAGTACAGATGAAACACGACTTTTTTTACAATCTTTTCCCAGTCCACACCTTTGGAGTAAAAGGTGACAAGTGCCATAGTGAAGAACGCTGTATGTAATGCAGATGGCAATGATAAACGTCTCCCTTGGGTGATTGGTAAGTCCGAGAAACCACGTTTTCAGAACATAAACTGTACTTTAACTTGCATCTAGTCTCATTAAAAGAAAGTTTAGACCACTAGCTCATCATTTCATACATGGCTTTTTCATTTTAATAGTCTAATGGTGGCTGAGAATACGCATGTTATGACACTGAATATACATCATCTGAACTCACCAATTGTAAAGGTTCACTTCCCCTTTCCCAAATGCAGCAAATCGTCCTCAGTCATTGACATTATTGTTCTTATGAAGAGGTCTTACGGGACTCGTGACAGCTGCAGTTTGCACTGCTGGAAAAGGAAACGATAACTTGGAGTGTGTTTGATGCAGGAAAAGCTATTGTAACATTTATGTCATCACAACACACAGAACTGTTTCAGAAAGTCCGGAGGCATGAAGTTTCTGATCCTGTTAGCGAGTTAGATGGTGACTGTATCACTTCACTTGACAAACTGAGCATTTTACAAGATGTTGCGAATCCTAGTGTTAGTTTTGAGGAGTTTTGTTAGTGCAGATGATGATGTCATGCTTTTGTGGAATCTGATTTACAAGCAGTTGTGTCTGAGGTGCAAGAAGTGTCATAAGAAGAAAGTGAAGAGAAAAATATCATTCTGCCCATCCACCAGGAAGTGTTATGCACCTGGGACATTTCAGAATGTTTTGCTGCAACATTTAGATTGAATGCTAGTTTTATGAAAGGCGTGAGGCTACATTTCTGTTACTGGAACCGGATTCAGAAATTTGTGTATGCACACATACATATATTTCTGAATCCAGTCCAAAAAACAGAAAAGTACCATCATGATATGTAAAGTGACAATGTGATTATTTATGATTATATCATATGGGTATAATATGTCAAACAACATTTCAGACTGGATATTTTTTGAAAAGCTTCATACTCTTAGTTACATAAGCTCAAGCAAAGAAGTAAGATTGTTTACGTCCATCACACATAAAGCTAGAAAGACATTTCAACAGAACAATGAAAAGAAATGGGAGAAAGTAGATAAATTTGCTTTTAAAGCAAGTGATTAAAGAATTCAAACTTCTTTCTTCACAGTTTTCATTGCTGATCAAAGTCATTTCAATAATATGGTCGTTTCTAATAGGAATTTTTTATTTTAAGGTGACAAGTAGATCTGTGTAGAGATTATATTTTCATTTTTACATAATACATACAGCTGATTTTGGACACTGCTAAGTTCAATATTTTCTCAGGAGTCGAGTCATTTTTCAGGTAATGTAATCTCAAAAAAGTGCCAGTCTACACTCAACAATCATATGTATGAAATAAACATGCACTGGTGTGTAAAAATTAAGGACGAGACAGTTTTTTCAATATAACTTTGTACAAAAGCTTTCCAAATCAACACATTTAATATCATAAGATCCCCAAAATGTAAGGACATGAGTAATGTAAGCAACACTTACTAAAAGAGAAATCAGAGGTATAAAAAGTAGCATGGAGTGCAATGCGACTGAAAGCCGAAACATCCCTGTGATGGGTGTCAGCAAGAAACATCCGTCCTTTAATAGGGGATATGATCTCCCCTGACTGCTAGGCAGTTTCACAGCGTCTGCCATGCTGAGAATGGGGGTCAATGAGTTGTTGAGGCTTGCTGCCCATCGTGGCAGCGCCAATGAAGGTCCGGAATCGTTACTGGTGGTAAGGTACGAGCGCCGCGTCTGCCGAGAAATCCATACATGCTTGATGGGATTGAGATCCGGAGATCGTGCGCCCCAATCCATACATTCAATACCTCACTCCTAAGGCTGTTGGCAGCTACTGTGCGAGGACATGGTGCATTGTCGTCCTGAAAGGAACTGCGTACTCATGCGCCTCTAAAAAGATGCCACAGAATGGAAGAGAATCAGTACAAAACGGGTTCCTTGACTGAACCGTTGTCGAAGATGTGAGAAGGTCTGTACGCCTACCAGTCTGATGCTCCCCAACGGAACACGCCATCCATACCTGTCCCTTTCAATGAGGTAGCGGGATGATTGGTGGCTCCCCGTCTCTCCAGATGAGCGATGAGAATTGCTACTCGAGTGAATCTGCTCTCATCTGTAAAGAGTACTCTCCCCATTCATGTCTCTCCATTCCGGGTTCCCGGAACCACGAGAAGCCTTTCGAGGTAGGGGTATAGGACACACCGTACAGAGCGTTGTGCACGGGCGCCACGTCAGCTTCTGGCCACGGTAAAATGCGATATCGTAGTCCAGTCGCGTGTGTGGTCTAGCATTCTCCGCTGCTGCGCCTGTTTTCGGCCTTAAGGAAATACGTCAGCTGCGGGTGTGGTTCACGTAACGTCCAATACTAACCCCAGATGCTGTTCCTGTAGTTTGAAATGTCTCCAAAGTCATGAAACGATGCTGTGAGCAATTCGAAATCTGCAGCCCACTTGTCACATGCGGCCTCCTCCAACTTCCCAAGATTCGACCCGGTAAAGCATCCAGATGTCGTGTAACAGTTGATTATTCACATTTCTCGCTGAGGTAGCAACTCGGTGTGCAATCTCTTTGCCAGAAATACTGATCTTACATCGACAAAATGCTTTATACTACTCAGACACTCCCCCATTACGTCTACCTGCATATCTGCGCATGTGCTACCGTACAGCACCTTACTTAATCTCCTGATTGGTCTTTCTGTCCGCTCTGCCTCTTCGTTCAGCTGATATGCTAATTTTTCGACTTCGTCCTTAATTTTTGCACACCATTGTACATATACGTCCAAGGACAACCTTGAAAAGGTTAAGTGGCATTTTCCCCCATTCATCTTCCTTATGTCATTCATGGGCAACTAACAAAATTCAAAATTTGGTGTAGAAACCTGATAATATTGAACTGACATGATTCTGTAATGGATGCATTTCACTCATTCAACTGTTTGATATGTTCGTTTCCATCCGTACAAGGTCTTACTGAAATATGTCACTTGGACTGTCATCTTCTACCTTTAGAAAATTATAAGCAAACTTTCAATTGTTCGCTCATTCAGTTTATAGTTCTAGCTTTCTAGAATAAAATCCAATATTCTTTGTCTATAAAAACCTCCTACTTTGACAATGAACTATCCTTGTTTGTTATTGCATCAGTTTCAGTATCTGAGAAAGTCATGATCATGATTATCTATTTGCATCTTTTTTCAGATTTTGAAACTTTTTCCATTTTTACCCGAGTTACTAATTACTCTATATTTCATCTTGCCCTACTAAGAAGTTTAAAGTGCTTTACATGTTCAGCAATCAGATTCATAAAACTAAAAGTCCCTCTAAAAACTTGTGTAAAATATTCAAAACTGGATATTATTTGAAGGAATTAAAGTCTGAACCAATATTATGGATTTTCTACAATAACTACACCTTTAAGTTCATATGATATTTTAATAACAATTCAACAAGTATTAGAATTTTAATGGCACTAAAAACAAACATTGTAAAAATTCTATAAAAAGTGCTTATAAGTAAATTAATAAATGTTAATAGGAGACAAAAATGTTCAAAATATCTTGATTAAAGTTAAGTAGAAGATTCTTTGTCAGCACCCATATAATTTCTGAAAGAGAGGAAAAAAAAAAGAAAGTCAAAAATTGTATTTTATATATGTCACAGTAAAAATAAGATTATAAAGATTGATAAATTCTAATTTTTCCAGTACTGAAATATACAAATCCAAAAACATCTAGTAAAATCATTTAATTTTAGGATTTTATCAAAAGCTAACAATAAAAACTAGAGATTTACTAGTATCAGTTGATAAAAGCTAGTTCCAAGAAGTTTTAAGTAACTTTCAGTTTTAATAAAAACATGCTGAAGAACAAATGAGAAACTGCCTTGATAATTAGCAGCCAGAATCAGTGATCACAGTTTCGAAGGTTGAGTGGCTTGGGAAACGGTAAAAGTAACAGGTTTTTGCAATGTAAGTGGTTTAGCCTTCAAAACTACAGTAATGCAAGTTTAGAGATATTATGCTTATTCTTTTTGTTAATTGTGGTATCTTTCACAGGTTCCAATTTATAGTACGAAATTATATGAATGATACTTTTATTTATTTTTTTAAAATTATTATTATCAAAATTTTATAAGTTATCCGATTACATTTTGAACTTTTACTTTGTATAGGTAAATAAAAATAAACCCTAATAAAAAATAAATATATTGCTAGATGTTTCAGAATTTTATTACTTGATAAGGCCAGGTTTACTGGTCTTAATATTTGCTCTAACATAAGTATGAAATAAGGCTAATAAAATGTCTTCAAAATTACTGCTCCAGTGTCAAACGAATTGCAGCTCGCCTTCCAAAATGCAGTGGATAGCTCCTAATGCTGAAATTAATTTATGACTACAGAGGGTGTTAGAATATACATGTGGCTATATTTCAGTCTTAAAACATAAGTGAAAATGGAAGGCTGGTAATGATTTAGTGGCTTTTTAAGAGGATGACTGTAGATGCCGAAGCAATGGGAATCGCTCCGATAGCAAAACTGGTCAAATGTGCTTATTCTGATCTAAAGGAAATAAGAGAAAATCAGAGAGTGATCATTACATACATTCTGGTAACAAGCATACTGGTCATGCTAAGTGTCACATACATAAGTGTCATGCTAAGTTGAACATAGCATCAGAAATTAAAAGTTGCTGGAAGCATATATGTATGGATATACAGCACCTATATTCCATATGACTATGTGACATTTATTATGTGCATACAAGCTTCCTTTAGATGTCCTTTGTTAAGAACGCATTACTGCATGCTTTGTATTATCTAGGCTTGGTAGCATATTGGTTGGATCAGAAAGAAAAGAAATGATTGTACTGGCCCAATGAACCAAAAATGTTGCTACAGCAAAGTGGTTGTCATTGACCACAAACATGCCCATCAATATTATGCAAGAGAAAATCCATGGACATTTCATGCACATGGTAAGGGCTGTAAAAACTGGTAGAGATTCTTGTGTTAGCATGGACTAGGACCATTGTTGTTTATGACCTATCATGCATTTATTATGTATTATAAGGATTATGGACTTGTGCACATACTATAATGCAACATTTCTATCTGAATAAATACAACTTATTCTAGGACAACACATAGTACCACTGTTGAATTATATGTGATTCATTGGATGAATATTTCGCGGAAATTTACCATATAAATTACCCTTCTAGTTTCTTTGATTTTGATTCCACATACATTTGATATTAAATACAGTGAAATACGAGTATGTTTAACGCTTAAGACGAAATATCGATGAACACAAAATAACACAGTGGTCCGAACGGACTACTATGTATTTTCGTGCATTTTTTTTCTTTTAACATGAAAAGATTTCCCTTTTGAAAATGAACAAAATACAGAAAACACCAGCCGCGCAGACGAGATTTAAGAGGGGTGTGAAATGAAAGAGGTGGTTTCACATGTTTCCATAGAAAGGAGGCTAAATTGGTTTTGAAATATCTTCGGAATAGCCTGTGGCAGGAGCCAATTTTGTTTAAGCTGCTTTCACCCTCCAGCCCTACAAATGCCACAAAAAAAAACATCTCACCTCTCATCAGTTGGCTTTGGAATTCAGTGATGAGTACATCATAGTGTGTGTAAAAATCAGTACGTTTGGTTCATGCCAAAAGAAATGGAAAAGAAGGCTATTGAAATTCAGCCGACACTTAGTGAAATGTTTGAAATAGTTTCTGTATTATTGGATTATCTTACTGTATCATTGAAAGTATTCGTTGCAGTAGATGATGATAATGTATGTACAGCATCAATTATGGCAGACAAAGACATTTTGGACATTTGGTTCAAAGCTAAAAAAATATCATTGATGCAGATTCCAATGACGAAAATGAAATTAATAATGCTGTTGTCACATCATCCGAAAATGAGAAACATCATGAAAAATATGTGCAGTTATTTAACGCACATTTTTGCAATGGTGAAATGAATGACAAAATGGACGACATCAAACAATTTTGATGCTAAAAAAGACAATACAAAGAAAAATATCAGATTATTTTCTAAAAACTGAATAAATGTTTTGTTTTTCAAAAAAACTTGAAAATTTTGTATTAAGTTCTTGTGGATGTTTTTTTCATTGATTTTTATTAAATATATGCATTTATATGTGTCTATGTAAATAAAATGTATTCTAATAAACCTAATTTTGTTTAATATATACATATATATATGTGTGTGTGTTTGTGTGACAAAACTGTGGTTCGGTGACATGACATGAATGATTTGATTGAGAATGCGACACAAACTTGCATTAAAATTTTTGGTGAAACTGGACTTTTCCCATAATTCACTGTCAACACAGAATAACAAACCCATGTAGAATTTTTTTATAATTAGAACTGTCCAAAAGAATATAAACACAGAACACTTTTGGAGGCACTGAAATAAGAACACTGAGACAGAGATGCGTAGAAATATTAATTGCGTAGATATTTGATGCTTAGAGCGTCCATCCATTTTTGAAGAAGAAACAGTCAAGCCAGATTAAATTCTTTTTATTTATTTAAATTCTCATTTTAGAGCCACACTTCACTTGGCACTCTACTTGTGCCTATTAAAGAACATTTACAATTTTGATACTATTGCCAAAGAAGAGAATTTAGCAGCACACACATGATTACAGATAGGCGTCTGACCAAGAGGAAAGCACAAGCAAAAGTGAAGCATCAGTTCATAGAAGAGAGGGAGGGAGTCAAAAGTTTCAGTTTTTTAGTTTTGGTTTGTGATTTGGTGATTGGTCAAGAGGCATCTGCATTAAGGGTTACATAAGACTGCATGATTAATTTGAATGACGCAGTCTAGACTTAAGCGCTATTTGTTGTAAACTCCATGCTTTATATTTGTTAACGATATTCAACAGCTGTTGTGTTCCTTTTTAGACAGAGTTTTGTTTTGTAGTTTGGCAACAGTAAGAAAGATAAGAATAAGGTTTTGATTTCCTTAAGTGTGTAAGCAAATAAAGTTTGGCTTTCTCAAGCAAGAAAATGCAATTGTTTATTTAAAAATATTTCTTTTCAAGTGCTATAAATGGCATCAGATTTAATTTAAAGGCAATAACGACTGAATGAAATAATATTCAGTAGATTCAACGCAATATTAGAGGTGACAACCGGGACGTGATCTCACTGGATTTTGAAGGCGAATACCATTAAACTTTTTAAGCATGGAATTATTAATGAAGAAACTTTCACCTGTTAGAGCTAATTTTACTAAAACTTTTAATGCCTTGAGTGATTTATTAAATCAGGAAAAACCTAATGAGGTAGAAATTCGATCAAATTTTAGTAGTTTAAAAAGGATATTGCTCAGCTTTCTATTTTTGATTCTGAAATAAGTGATTTGTTAGTTGCAGATGCTGATGCAGAAAAATATGAGCACGAGTTTTGATTATTAAATACAATGAGAAGATGGATAGTATTACAGTAAAAGTAGATATTTGTATAAATAGAATTTTAAAGGATCAGTGTAACCCTTTAGTTTGTTCTTCTCTCGTTCAGGTTAAAAGGAAACTGAAATTACCGAAGAACAAACTCATTAAATTTACGGGTGAAATTAAGGACTGGCTTGCCTTTTTGAGTCAGTTCCAAAGAATTCATGAAGATGAAAATATAGAAAAGAAGGATAAATTTCAGTATTTAATACAATGCATGTCGGAAGACATGAGAGTTCGTGATATTGTTAACAGTTATCCGCCAACAGGTGAAAATTATAATAAAGTGGTAGAATGCCTAAAATCTCGTTTTGGTCGAGATGAATTACTTATTGAGTTCTACATGTGAGAACTGTTAAAGTTAGTCATAAAAAATGCTACAGGCAATAACTGAAAATTAGGCACTGTTACACTGTACGATAAACTAGAATCCATTGGTTTGACATCGGATAAATATTCTGCCATGCTTTTTCCTCTCATTAAATCTTGCATACCGGATGACATTTTTAGGGTGTGGTTGCGAAATCCGATAGTACACTGGATGAGTCAGTGGAGAATCCATAATGTGAGAAGCTAAAAAGCTTGTTACTGTTTATGAAAACGGAAGTAGAAGGAGAGGAGCGAGTTCTCTTAGCGAAATCTGGGTTTTCAAATAAATATGAAAAAGGGGAGAAAGAAAAGATGAATAAAGCTCTTAATCAACCAACAGCTGCAGATTTATTTTCAGGAGTTTTCGAACAGAGAAAGCAAAACATAGCTTGTGTATTTTGTAAAAAGGCACACAAGAGCAGAGATTGTTTTAAGGCTCAAACTCTGAATTTCCAGCAGAAACAAGATATTTTAAAGGATAAGAAAGTCTGCTTTATATGTTTAAGAGCTGGACATCGATCAAAATTTTGAAAGACAAATATTAAATGTATTCTTTGTGGAAAAAGACATTTGGTTTTAATGTATCCAGAGCTGAAAACTAACAAATTAATTAATAATTCTCTTAAATCTGAAGAATCAAAACCAAGCATTAACAGCCTGTCAAATCATTGTTACTCTGGTGAATATCTACTTCAGACATTACAGGTTAGATTGAAATTAGGAAATAAAGAAAAACAAGTACGGGTACTCATCGATAGTGGTTCTCAACATTCATACATATTGAAGACAACTGTAGAAGAGATGGGTATAGAACCAAATGATAACAGTTTTTGATTCACACACTTTTTGAAGGGTTAACGACAGAGATGAAGGAGCATCGTCAGTATGAACTTGACATTGAATCCTTAATACATTTTCCTGTAAAAGAGAAGCTATAGATCAGTCTATTATTTGTAGAAAAATTCTGCGACTAAAGAAAGGAGAATCATGGGAAAAAGAGTTAAAGGAAAATAAGATATGGCTTAATGATTATGGAGAGAATTTTCCCGATATTGAGATATTGATTGGAGCTGATTTTTGTGGTCATTTGTTTACGGGGAAAACTCATTATCTTAAGTGTGGCTTAGTCGCATATGAAATGCTTTTGGGCTGGCTGATTATGGGAAAAATGTTTGATGAGAATACTAGCACCTCTGCAAACTTAATCAACTCTATACTTATAAAAAAATGCATCAACTGCTGATCTGTGAAACTTGGATACTCTAGGCATCGGAGGTCCTGTTGAAATAAAATCTAAAGAAGAGACACATCAATTAGTTATGCAACAGTTCCAGCGAACGGTGAGAAGAGGTAAAGAAGGTCAGTACATTGTGAAGCTGCCTTGGCTAGAAGAACAGGAGATTTTGAATGAAAATAAATTAGTTGCAGAGCACAGGTGTGCATCAACTGCAGAGAAACTTATTAAGGAAAGCAGATATGAAGATTATGATACTGTTTTCCAGGAATGGTTAGCGGAGAATATTGTTGAAGAAGTACCACCTGAGGAAGAAAATAAAATCCCATGCATCCCAAATATTTACCCCATCGAGGAATTCTTAATAAAAATTCCACCACAAGCATTCGACCTGTTTTCGATGCTTCATGTAGATCCGGTCATTCTGCATCACTTAATAATGTTCTAGAGAAAGAACCAAACCTCTTGGAGAAAATCCTTCCACTGCTTCTGAGGTTTCGGGAAAGATCGATTGGCATCATTTCAGACATAAGAAAGGCCTTCTTACAAATTTCTGTTGCAGAAGAAGATCAAGACTATTTGAGATTTTTTTTTTTTTTTTTTTTTTTTTTTTTTTAATGGTGGGAGAATTTTGAGAAAAAATTTTAATTTTATCGTTATAAAAGGGTAGTCTTTGGACTCACATGCAGTTCATTCCTCTTAGCTGCAGACATTAATTTTCGTTTGGAGGAATACTGTGATGATTTTTAAGAAACTGTGCGGGAGTTAAATTCCTTTTATGTGGATAACTGTGTAATATCTGTATCTGATGAAAAGGTATTACTGCATATTTGTACATGAGGCTAAACAAATTCTAGCCTCAGCATGTTTTGACTTAACATGGATAGGAATATACTTCTTTAACAGGAGAAAAAAGGAATCTCCCGTTCTTGGATTATTGTGGGATAGAAATAAAGATGTTCATTTTTGTAACATAGAAAATGTTTCCTTTAAGAAAGAACTTGTAACAAGAAGAAATATTCTTTCAGCTGTCAACACTATTTTTGATCACATTGGAATGCTATGCGTGCCCAATAACTATGCATGAAGATACTCATACAAGAAAGCTGGACTCTTAAATTAGGCTGGGATGAGGTATGTCCTGAAAGTGTTTGTAAAAGATTTTCACTGTGGACGGAAGATCTTCATTTATTATCAGAAATTAAAATTCCAAGATATGTTGATTGTGATGGTTCCCGAGATGGATTAAATCTTCATACTTTTGTAGATGCTAGTAAATCTGCTTACAGCGCAGTTGTATTTCTTCGTAAAGGAAACCGTGATAAAGTAAAAATTCATTTAATTCAAGCTAAGAGAGAGTTGCTCCCTTAGCAAAAGCAACAATTTCCAGATTGGAATTATTAGCCTGTTGTGTAGGAGCACACATGATATCTTACATTATAAAAGAAATGAATTTGACAGAAGTTCCAACCACATGTTGGACAGATTCTTCAACAGCTTTGTTTTGGATTAAGAATGAAGATAATTGGAGTACTTTCGTTAAGGAAATTCGAAGTATCACTTCAGTGGATTCATGGAAACATATTCCTGGCAGTCATAATTCGGCAGACCTCCCATCCAAAGGTTTTTCTTCAAAATTTCTCTTTACATCGAAATGGTGGGAGGGACCTGAGTGGCTAAAGCAGTCCGAAGACAACTGGTCCAAATCTCAGATTCAAACCAAAAGTGAAGGAGTTTACAAAAAGCGAAAGAAGGGAGAAACTGCTTTAATGAACACTTCTGTGTCAGACGAGCGATGAAACGATTTTCCAAGTATTCAAAGATTTTGAAACTAATAGCCTGGATATTGTGTTTCTACAATAACTGTAAAAATTTTGAGAATATAATGAAGGGAAAGTTGTCTGTACAAGAAATTTTGTGCCAATTGTTTCTCATAAAAGGAACAGCTGTTCTTTCCTTTTTAGGCAGAGTTTTGTTTTTGTAGTTTGGCAACAGTAAGAAAGATCAGAATAAGGTTTTGATTTCCTTAAGTGTGTAAGCAAATAAAGTTTGGCTTTCTCAAGCAAGAAAATGCAATTGTTTATTTAAAAATATTTCTTTTAAAGTGCTATAGAATGGAGTCAGATTTAATTTACAGGCGAGAACGACTGAATGAAATAATATTCAGGTAGATTCAACGCAACACTATTTTTAGGACAGATAGATGAAGTTCCCAAATGAAATAGAAAATAAAAGAGGTTATAGTGAATTAAATTTAGAAGTTTGCTTTCATATTTTCTATCTTACATATATATTGCAATATCCTTTAACACACACACACACCAAAAAAAATATATATATTTCGGTCCCCTCAGTTTCATGTTAAACGATTTTAACTGTATTATAGAACGAGACCATTGACCATTTAAGTGCCAGATCCTGCACCAATACTCATATGTTTATTATGAGCTGCATTATGGGTTGAGATGCCTTTAAAAACATATCCATACTATAAGAAATCTTGCTAAATAATAGTAGACATAGATCATTAAAATGTATCTAGGTTATCTATTGTATTTCTGTAAGTTATGAAAATGATTGATTAGTTAATTTCTGCAAGGTTGAACATAGATAATTATGAGTCACCTTTTTATTGCCCTTGCAATATTACAATTTTCACAGATTCTGTCAACAGTAGCAATTTTGCTTTCCAACTCTTACTATGCCATGTTAATAGTTTGATTTTTCTGTTTTATTCAGTAGATATTTTATCTATTTTACGAGCTGTAAATTAAGTTGAAACTCATTTCTCTGGCAAGGTTGAACATAGATAATTATGAGTCACCTTTTTATTGCCCTTGCAATATTACAATTTTCACAGATTCTGTCAACAGTAGCAATTTTGCTTTCCAACTCTTACTATGCCATGTTAATAGCTTGATTTTTCTGTTTTATTCAGTAGATATTTTATCTATTTTACGAGCTGTAAATTAAGTTGAAACTCATTTCTCTGAAATTTAGGTACACTGTGGGAAAAAAAAGGGGGGAACAATACTATATCTCTCGTTCTACTGGGCCGAATGACAAAATTCAAATTGCCTTTTGCATGTCACAAAAGCATGACTTATGATATCTCTTAGATTTATATATAGCATTGTTCTAAAATAGTATTTTAGAACTTTTTCTGAAATAACATACCAATTTTTCCATATTTTGATCGTACGACTCAAAATATGCCTAGACATTAAATTTGTAAAATTTGGTGTGAAATTTACAAAGAAATTCAAAAATTTATCTTTGGAAATTTTTTTCAGTTTGCGCCAAGAATAATTCACTTTGCGAAATTCTTAATATGTGGCAACCAATTTTCCTTTCCCTTCCATTATGCTGGAGCGGAAAAAAAAGGCATCTCGTTCCAACCTTTTTACATTGTGCATGAGTGACAAAAAAGGCACATCGTTTCTACTTCCAAATAATTTTAGCAAAATATCTAAACCACAATTGATGTCTTATCGCTTTCAACAAATATGCCAAATTTCAAAACGGGCCAATATATAAATTCACGTATATTTTCGAAATTTTGAATAAAAAACTGTGATTGTTTGCAGGTATGCTTAAATACGTCTACTTTAAGATGATAACATTTTTATAGATTATAATTCAAAATATTTTTTGAAAAATGTATAAAGATTATTTAAAAATACAAATTTTAAAAATAAATCATAAAAAATGCGTGAATTTTATTTGGAATGAACCTAAATTTCAAAATATGAAAGGAAGAACCAAATAAGTTTAATAAAAAAAAGAGAAATTAATAAATATATACCAAACTCAATTAACATCGAGGAGCTAAAATTTTGAGAGCTGATTTTTTAAAAACTACTCGTGCGATTTTTAGAAAACTTGGTAGTTTGGCGTAATTTGAGTGGTAGAATTGAAATATGGGAAAAAATTGGTGTTATTTCAGAAAAGGTCCGATTTTGTGTGAAAATACCTATATTAGAATGATGCTATATATAAATCTAATACATATCCTAAGTCTTGCTTTCGAGACATGAAAAGCGAAAGTTGAATTTCACCAATCGGCCCTGTAGAATGGGAGATATAGAACTGCCTCCCCCCTGCAGTGTACATTTTTCGCTTACCCGAGGATGAACATGCAGTTCAGAATAACAGAGTCTGGATAACAAACTCTAGTGTAAATTTTTCCTATTAAAAACCTATGAACAGAATGAATGTGTAACTTATTCTCTTACATGAGTCTCTTAGTCTTAGTTCTTTTGCTTTTCATATATTCTTAAAATTAATAGATACTGTGAATATTTTATTTATTTCTCATATACATTTTCTACTTCTTAATTAAATGCATATTAACTTGACACTTCAGACGAATAATCAGAATAAGTATAAATCCTAAAACTTATAAAAACATATCTGTAATTTTATGAATTTTTTAAACCCTGTAAATGAAACAGAATTTAAATATGATAAAAATATAAACCTCTTATTTAAGCAAGGACATTCTAATATGTGCTGATCCTTCCCAAAGTTCTCTCCTTCTTCAACAGAATGAGGCAGATGTTGATGTACAGTTTCAGGAAGAATAGTAGTGATTGCTGCTATCACAAACAGTAGCACTCCAGACACTACAAGGGGTAATCCAGGTCTAGTTAAAGACTGAGAAAAACATACTTTTATTCATGTGTATTGAGTAATTAAACATTAAAATAAAAATAAAATTATTGTGTATTTCATTGCATGTACATAAAAATACAATGACAACAAAATTCAATTTTGAAAATTTGCCCCCTTCCGCAATATTTTTATCTTAATACAATACTGTTAATTTTTTATTGTTAATTTTTGATGAATCTTTACAGATTCTTTATAATTCTGTCATTAAAATGAAACAGATAATATGCAAAATTTTCTTTCATAACTCATGAAACAGTAAAATAATTTTTGCAATATTTCGTGTAATCTCTATTATAAAATAATGAAGGATCTGTGTGTATGTACACTGTTGGCCATTAAAACTGCAACACCAGAAAGTAATGATCTGACGAACATCAAAACTACATGAAAGGAGAAGAGGTTTGGATATACAAATGATTAGAATTTCAGCACATTTAGACCATGCAGGAGGGAGAAATGACATTTGAAGCACTTCATAAAAGAATAGCTGTGTAGTGGCTTTCTCATTTGGAAGCGCTTTATGAGGTCACAGTTTACTCAGAATATTGTGTTATGCCTCGAATAATGAGAAGAAATGCTTACCAGCAAGTGTTGGAATTTGATATAAGTAGGATCGTTGCCTATCGAGAGTGTGGATTATCATTCCATGATATCACCCATCACACTGGTTGACATCCAACCACTGTCATGCAAATATGGGATCAATGGATTGCTGAGGGTAATACTGAACGGCATTGTAACCTCTACAAATCATATATAATCTTTTCTTTTGCACAACTTTATATAGACTGTGAGTGGCAACTGTAGAAACAAAAATAGTCATAAGATGATGATGTTTTTAAAAGAACATCTTTAAAAAGTGAATAATAAATTGTTTTCTCTTAAATATAGTGGTGTAAAGTTATTCTTAAACAAAACAAAAAAAAATAATGTTTATGATGTAGCAATCCCTACATTATTTGGTGACCTGAAGTTAGCAACTGTAAATATTATGGAAAATACAGAGAAGACAGAAAACCAGTCAAATGGTGGCAATTCTTCAGAAACTATGAAGGTCAGTATAAAAATTCCAACTTTTTGCATAGATAAGACAGAAATTTAGTTTTATCAGATAGTTTTAAATTAATGGTATAAGTTATGAAAATACCAAATTTAATTATATTGTCTCACAAATGGAACCTAAATATGTAGATACTATTTGAGATATAATAACTGATAAGACTGAGAACAAATATTCATTGGCAAAAGAATATTTATTAAATGTATTTAAAGAAAGTGAAAATAAACGAATTAAATGCCTTTTCACTGTCATTGAAATTGGCGACATGTAACCCAGCCATCTATCACAAAAAATGAAATCCTTGGCAACTAGTGATATTCTTGACATGGTATTAAAAACATTATGGATGGACAAATTGCCATACCATAAATACATACTGGCAGTTAGGGATGAAGGTACTGATAAATTGGTGATTATGGCTGATAAGATTTTCGCCATGCATTCACATGACTTATATGAGACTCATTCAACTAAAGTTAAGAAATCGAGCGTGTCACCAAACACTTCACAATTACTGGAAAAAAATCTTCATTGGAAAAGCGGACTGAAGAACTCCATCTCTATCACCAATCAAATGAAAGAAGTCATCATACAAAAAGATACAACAGATTATCGTCTAGAGGCAGAAGTTAGAAGTCGGAAGCATTATAATCTGTATAGTTAGCTGCCTTATTAGCACTTCACTTTCGGATCCAGATGCTTTCCAGAAAAATGTAAACCGCCATGTAACTGGAAAAACCCGGAAAACTTGCCTGCACAGCAGAATTAGAATTAGTGGCCGGTTCTGCTGCTGAAGATTTAAGGAACTGCCGTGAATTCAATTATAGACTTTCTGTAATAGACCAAAAAACTGGGATAAAATTTTTGATTGACAGTGGTACAGATGTAAGCCTAATTCCAGCCATGTGTAATGACAAGGTAAGTAGCGATTTTAAACTTTATGTTGCAAATGGTACTGAAATCCTGGGTTTTGGACATGAAATTTTAAGTCTGATTTGGGACTTCACTGTAATTTTCAATGGTCTTTTATCATAGCCAAAGTCAGTAAAAGCATTTTGCGTTCAGATTTCTTAACCGGTTTAATTTATCAATTGATATTAAAAACAAAAAGTTAATTGATGATGTAACTAAACTCAGCATTATTGGTGAAATTACATGATCAGCCGACGAATCAAATATAAGCACCTTAAACAAAAATAATAAATTTTCTAATATTTTGGCACAATTTTTGGAAATCACAAAAATTGATTTACTAATTTCTACAACAAAACATAATGTTTAACATAACATACCTACTAATGGCAAACCAATTTTTCAAAAGCGAGACAATTAGACCCTAAGAGATTAGAAATAGCCAAACAAGAATTCAACTTTATGCTTGAAAATAATACTATAAGACCATCAAAATCACCATAGGCAAGCCTACTTCATTTAGTCCAGAAAAAAGATGTCACTCTGAGACCATGCGAGGATTATCAGCACCTAAATGATGTCACAATACCAAACTGTTATACCATACCCAGAATTGAAGATTTCCACCATGCTTTAAAAGGCAAAACAATATTTTCTAAACTTGATTTACTTAAAGCCTATTAACAGATCCCAATAGCAGAACAAGATGAACAAAAAACAGCTATAATAACTCCATTTGGACTTTTTGAATTTAATATAATGAGTTTTGGCTTAAGAAATGCTCCCTCCACTTTTCAAAGATACATTAACGAAGTTTTCATAGGGCTAGGTTTTATTTTTCCATATTTAGACGATATTTTAATATTGTCAGAAACTGAGGAACAACATAACAAACATTTTACGGAAGTATTTAATATAATTCAACAGTATGGCCTACGAAATCAGTGATGGGAATGAACAAATTAAAATTTTTGATATATTTGATAACACCAAATGGCTCAAAACCTCTTAAAGAAAAAGCGCAAGCTATAACAAGTTATAAACTTCCTGAAACTATTCATGAACTTCGTAAATTTTTAGAAATGATTACTTTTAGAGAAGATATGTAAAAGATGTAGCTAATACCCAAGCTCTCCTAAATGAATACTTGAAAGGTTCAACAAAAAAAGATCGAAGGAAAATTCCATCGACAGGAGAAGCAAAGAAGAGTTAGCCAATACTGCTATTTTAACTTTCCCTAATCCAGATCTACCATTAGCATTACGTACAGATGCCTCTAATTTTTCAATTGAAAGCAATATGAAAATGGATGTTGGAGACCAATAGCATTTTACTCCAAAAAATTAAATGAGACCTAGAAAGCTTATAGCACATATGACCAGGAACTTTTAAGTATCTATCTTTCCATCAAACAATTTAAGCATATGCTAAAAGGATGAGAATTTACGGTTTTCACAGAACACAAGCCAATTATATTCGCATTTAAAAAAAAGATAAAGCATCACCTAGACAATTAAGATATCTCCAGTATATTTTCCAATTTTCAACAAATATAAAATACATAACTGGGAAGGATGATATTGTTGCAGACTCAATGTCTAGAATTGAATCAGTTTCGGACATCTATTATGACAAAATTGCAGATGAATAATGAAGAATTAATAGATAGTAGCGAAAATTTAAATTTTAAAGAATATCCACTACCCTCATTAAAAAGAATCCGATATGATATTTCATTTTCAACTATTAGACCGTTTATACTACAACCATTTCGAACAAATGTTTTCCACAAAATACGTGACTTGAACCATCCTGCCATCAAATCATCAGTGAAACAAGTAGCATCAATATTCAATTGAAATAATATTTAAAAAGATATTAGAGAATGGGCTAAAACTTGCATTAATTGCCAAAAGTAAAATTATTCACCACACATTTTCGAAGTCAACTCATTTGAAGAACCTGATGAAAGATTTAGCATAATTCATATTGATATAATTGAACCATACCCACTAACAAATGGAGGGCTCAAGTCTTGGGCACTTCTACAGGCTCCTAGGCTGGGAAAAAACAAATGGAAATAACTATTGCTTAACATGTATTGATCGTTTTACGTGAAGGATGGAAGTTATACCGATAGAAAATATTACTGCAGAAACAATCACAAAAGCATTTTATACAAATTGGATTTGTCGTTTTGTGTTCCTTTCATCAATGTGATTATAGATAGAAGAAATCAGTTCAGATCAGAACTTTTCAGAAGTTTAGGTACAATCTGTGGAATTAAAATGCAAACAACAACTTCATACCAACCGCAAAGCAACGGAAAAATTGAAAGACTACACAGAACATTAAAAGCAGCCATTAGAGCTCACAATTCAGTCAAATGGAGTGAAACTTTACCAACTACACTCCTTGGTATACGCTCATCCCTATGTGATGATACAAACTGCTCCATCGCAGAAATGATCTGTGGTAAATCACTGAAGCTACCAGGAGAATTATTTTAAGAACCAAATTAGAACCAGATACTTTCACCAGCGAACTCCGAAAACAAATGGAACATTAATAGTCAATATAAAAGAAAACAGAAGTTATTTTTCCATGAGGATTTAAATTCATGTTCACGTGTATTTGTCAGAGTGGATCATGTCAAAAAGGCATTAGAACTTCCTTATGAAGGACCTTTTCCTGTCATTGCCAAAAATGACAAATATTATACAGTGAGAATTAAAGGAAAAGACAGCAATGTTTCCATCAATCAATTAAAACAAGCTTATTTGTTAGCCTCAGGTGAGGATGATTCTCGAAACCTAACAACTAAAGAAGAAACAAATATTCCATATTAAACAGAGATGAAAATGGAAAGACGGATAATTTAAAATTTAAAACAGCATGTAGTGGGAGAACAATTATTTTTCCAGCACATTATCAAGACTACGTGAATATTTAACATTGTACATTAATTTTTCATATAATGATTGTAATATTTTGTAAATAGCATTTATGTAGTTTATTGTAAATTAAGTATTTATGTGACAACAATAATTTTCTCTTTGTATCGCAACTATGTTGCTTGGAAGTATACGTACACGTGTCTGGAGGCTCCAAGGAGACTGCACATCGTCTCCTTACATTCAGTATCGCTTTAGGGGCCCTGCACCTGGTGTGATGGTTTGGGCAGCCATTGGATTCACGATATGCACATCTCCTTCAGATCGTCCATAATTTGAATGCAGATCGGTATGTTTCTGCCTATTTACGTCCAGTGGTTGTGCTCTATATTCGAGGCCTGCCAAACACCATCTTTCAACAAGATAATGAAGGCCCACATGTTGCACGTCATGTTCTGACCTTCCTCGATACACAGGGTATTCAATTGTTGCCCTGGCCTGCATTGTCTCCAGATCTGTCACCCGCTGAAAACATTTCATCATGAGTTACTCAGAGACTGGCCCACCACTCCTCTCCAGCTAATGCGGTTAACAAAATGAGGCATAGACTTGAAGCAGCAGGAATGAGTTGCCCGTTTTTGTCATTTAAGCCTGCTTCACTTCCATGCCTAACCGGTAAAGCCCATTTCAGCTGCCAGGGATAGCAGCTGTTTCTACTAATTTCACACAACTGTAAACCCCCAAACTTCCTACAAATTTAATCATTCTGTCTTCATGCCATATTGTTCACGTACAATAAATATCTTTTTTATATTTGCTTTCCTTCATGGCATTGCAATTTTAATGGCAGCAGTGTATATTCCTCACATTGCAAAAAAACAGTGGCACATAGAAGCCACCAAATTTCAAACACACATAGTCCTTCATCTAAAAATGTGCACTTCAAGGCCCAAATTTTAATTCTTTTTTAAAAATTTATTTTAATGTTTGTGTGAAAGAATATTTATTTTAATGAAAACAAACTTGCAGATTTAAAAGCAGTGTGTTGCCGCTCTGCAAAGCATAGGATATTTATGTTTCAAATTTAATCAGAAAACTCAGTGATTTAAAAGAAATGTGTTGCCACTTGGCAAAACTTGTCTTTCAAATTTAATCAACAAACTCACCAGTCTGAAAGAAATGTATTGCCACTGCCTCAAAGGAAATATTTTTATCTTCTACATGCCAGTGTGTTGCTATTTGGCAAAGCATCAGATATTTCTTTCTTTCTTTCAAATTTAATCTATCTATTATTTATTAACAAACTAAGCAAAAGGGGGGGAATGCAGTCCTTCATCTCTATCATTATTACTAGTTGGATGCATTCAAATCATCATATATTTTTTTTCATTTTTATGATAACTATTTTATGCATTGCCCCCACAAGCAGTCAAAAGAACTTGATAAATTTGTTGCACTGATTTAATATATATTTCAATGGCAACTTACTATACTAATGAAATTTGAAGCCATGAAGTTTTTATTTTACTCAGGCCAAATAAACTATATTCCTATAATTATGTTAAACAATTATGTTTAGATTATTATAGTAAAATGTGTAATCTATGATGATGAGCCATGTTAACTATTATTACAATAGTTTTTACAGTTGATCTCATACATTTTGTTATTTGATAATTATTTCAGTTTACTGAAGAAAAGAAAAAAAAAGGTTGATTAATCTTGATCACTTTCCCTATTCACACTAAATGCACTAAAATAATGCTATGAATGATCTTAATTTGCAATATGTAATGATGTGATGAAGGCAATGTTTAATATCCTATGTCTTATATAACAGTACTTTTCAAAGAAGTATATGATTATCCTTTAAAAACAGTAACTTACAAGATACACAATAGATGGACTGAGATATAGTCCGAGAGTACCCATTAGTCTCAAAAATGCCAAACCACGTCCTCGAAGCACAGTAGGCAGAAGTTCTGCTGAATATTGCATAATGACATTGTATACAATAGTTAAAGTTACTCTTTGTATAAGTGCCAATCCTAGATATGTTTTAGTAGAATCTGCAAATAAAATAATGTTCAAGATAGAAATAATATTGTAAATAAAATTTTTAAAAAGGTTTAAATCATAATATGAAAATAATGAATATGATAGTTATTAAAACAAATATTAAAATTACTACTTAGCATTTAAATTCTAAATAAAGTAACATTTTGGTTATCTCATTTTAAAAGTAACTTTATTTATAAATGACAACCAGTTTTATATAGCATGCTCAAGTTATATGAATAAACTGTATAATTTCATAGATGTTGCAAAACAGTTAATTCTATGATATTTCGAAGAACTTAAATTTCTTAGACGGGGCCATATCAATTACTCCATCTGAGAGTTTGAACATGCATTATAGAATACATGCACAAAAAAGGGAAACCACTTAATATGTATGTAATTACAAAAATTTAATAATTTCACTTTATCAAACCATTTTCTATTTTATTAACTTACCAACAGAATCATAGACTGATGTCAAATTTCAAATTGGTCAGGTTTGAAAGATAGATCATTATTTCTAACAATGCACACTGTATTAAAAAAAAAAAAAAAAAAAAAAAAAAAAAAGATAATTATATTTCTAAGCGATGTTATAAATACCTTGAGGTATGATTATGATAATTATTCCAGCTACTCCAGCTAAGAGTGAAGAGAAAACTACAGGCCATCGCCTGCCTAACCAATCAATACCAAATAATATGACAAAAAGAGCTGGAATTTCAACAAGAGCACTGTAAGTAAAGGAATCATACACATTTGTTCCCAAGTTTGAAGCATTCTGGGTATTTGTATGATAACAGCAATAAACAACAAACCTATAAAAGATACAAAAAGGTTAAATTTTAAATTTTAGAATGTTTTTTTTTAATTTATTTTTTAAAATTATTAATTATTTAAAATTGATATATAAAGAACTGATGTGTTGGTTATTAGTATTTTATTTGCATACACCATGTTCAGGGATTGCACTTAAGTTTAAGTTCTTGGTTTCACTATCAGCACTCTGATATATCAAACTGGGGAGAAAAAAAAAAAAAAAAAAAAAAAAGATCAGGTTTGCATTTATGATGGGTACATCTGTAAATGTCCTGAACATCATGTCCGCAATCTTATTATCATGATGATAATCTATTAACTAAATAACTTCTTAGAATAAAGTTGGCAATTTATTAGGATATATTTGTTTTACTATTGAATAGACACTGGAAATGCAATCTGTACTTGATTTAAACAGCTATATATTAATTATATGATTTAAAAAGCTATTGAATTAAAAATAACCAACAAACTCAACCCTAAATGATTATTTAAAATGTTAAGGGGAAAAAATATTATTTCTATGCTACCTTTTCAGTTCATTACGAAACATAAAATACTAAAAAATGTAGTGGCATTTTTTTATACAAACAACATATTATATTCCTAATGAAATAGTAATTTGTAATTTAATAGGCAATGCCATATGCAAAATGGAAGAAACAATCAAATTAAATCCAACTTTATTTTAAACTTTGTCAACGTTAAAAAAAATTTAAAATTTTAGATGTCTTACACCTAGTCATGTGAAAAATGCTTCTTTTCTTAAGCATTTCATGCATTCTCTGAGAAAATGTTTAAGAAATGATAACTGCATAAATACTAAAAAAGTTATTTTAAAAATTTGCAATTTTTGCATTACAACTGACACATGCATGCACTGCAAAATCTAAATTTAAGAGTTTCCTTCATTGTGCTTTTGTATATAAGTTCATTTATCATACACATGTACAGGAAATAATAATAATAAAAAAAGATTAATAAAATTTTTAAATGGCATTTCACATAAGATCTATGAAACACGAAGAAAGTTTTACACTGATTTTGATCAAAATATATTCTATTAATAGTTAATGTTTAATTAATAACCAACTTTGGAAACGTTTTTTCCAATACATTTAGTTTGAGGTTCGTATTTAACTGAAATCTAGCCTGAATTTTGAACTGAATTTCTGCAGCATTCCTCTCTATTGCTGAAGTCTGGAACTTATTTTGAGATCACACTAAACTGAAATAAATTAATAAATAATCTAAATATTATTATTTAAAAAACAATTAAACATATCAGTAAAAAGCAACCATTATGCATAGAGATTTATAATTAAAGAAAATAAAAATTCCTAGTTTCCCAACAGCATGTTTAATAATTTTGGATAGCAATACATTGTGACACCCATTCTTTACAACCCTAAAATGAGACAGGCATAAGATAGCTACTTATTCGGACTCCAGGCTGAGGAAGCAGTTACGCCATCTGTGAGATCTTTCTCTGTCAAAACAATTTTTTTAAGTAGTTAAGCAGATATTAATTTGTTTTACTTTATTTATTATGTTAAAAATTTTCATATGTAAACACCATAAAATTCAAAAAATTAGAAAGAGTTTTCTTAAATTGATGATAAAATTATCAACATTGATTTTGTACACATAAATACAAGTGAGAAATAGCCAGCAAACAGCCAGTGGGGGGGGGATGTCATCTGCCGCCAGCAGAGTACAGCTCGCAAAGCAATGGACACAATACTTTGGTGTCTTTGAGTGCAAGATCTGGTGAGGAACAGACCCGTTCCCCATAAGTAAAGCTGATGATCTATGAGACGAGCAGACGGCTTGTACTCCAGGAGTTTTGCAGGAATGATGATCTTCCAGACAAACTGACAATCTGTTTGTAGATATCTAAATTTCTGCCACAGATGATGGACTGCAAGGATTGCATGAAGCTATGCTATGAGCTATGAAAGGACTGACCTTAATTGTGGGGTTACCAACTGTAACATTTATTTTCATCATTTATCATCAATTCAAAACATCTTAGTAAATTCATAACAGATTAGTACTTATCTCATGCTCCACAGTATCTTAAATTGAGCAACCCTACATAACACAATTCTACTTTTACTTCATTGTACGAAGTAAAGAAAGTATTGAAAACAGAAAAAATTCCGGGTATTACATTTCAACAAAAATATCCATTTTGACTGCTATCGAATGCAATTTAACGATGTTTTTGCATTATATCTACACATACGCACAGAATAAAGGACACTTTTTCCCCCAAAACAAATTATACACCTGATTTAAAATGGATTCAGAAGAGAATTTTTTTCCATGACGTCTGTAAGTATGTATTTCACATAACTCAAAAACAAGTACTCTCAGAACGTTAAAATTTTGTATATAGAACTGCTGTAACATGTACTTGTGCACCTCCTTTTGTGGTTGCAATTGGCCAAACCAAAATTATATATATATATATATATATATCATGTATATATTTTAACAAAAATGTATGTACATAAAAAAAAGCAAATTTAAAGTTAAAATAATGTGCAACTACTCCATTACTCAGCTCAGTGAACTCAGTTTTTTTATTCTTATATGTTGGTAAATTGTGCAATTCTTGCTTTAAAAATGATTGAATTATGTTGTTCTTATCTTCTGGTTAATGTTTTTAAGCCTTAGTTAATCTGCATGCAATAGTTGTAGAATTATCAACAATTTAAAAACTGTTCAAGTGTGGTTTTTTTCTTTTCTGTTTTTTAAACCATAGCAGCCATATTTTCTTACAGTTGAAACTTAGCAGAATAGTGAATTATTAAGACAGTTTATGCACGTCCAGTGTTTTTTTTTTTTTTTTTTTTTCTGAGTGGGACCAAAAGTAAACTTTCAGTTTTGTGGACCAAAAAATCTAATTTCTTGCCTGCTGGCTGAATTCCTTGTTTGTATAATTGTAAAAATTGTTTTTTTAAATTGTTCAACTGTGTTATGTTTTTCTATATTTTTAAATTTTTAATGAAGATATTTTGAGGTTTTATGTATTTTTTGCCTGGTTATAAAATGAGAACTGAATTAATTGAATGAGAAATCTATCTGTAATGAAATTTGAGGAAATAAGTTTAAATGAAATGCGGCAAAAAAATGTGTATAATTTAATATTCCATACAAGGGATTAATGTGGTGCCTGCATCAGATTTTTTGCTTCTAAAGAAAACATTGTTTGAGTATTTGAACTTGTACACCTTCTAATTAAAACCTATATATCATTATTATGTTACAGGAAGCTCAAAGGAGCTTGGATAATATTTAAATTACTTTCTGCTTTCCAAAAAAAAGTTAAGTTTATAACCCTAAAACACATAAAAAGAACCGTACAAAACTGCAAATGATTAATGTAGGAATATTTTTAAAAAATAAAATTTTTGAGTCATTCAAAAAGTTTTGTGGTTTTATACATATTCTCTTCTAATTTCTTTGTTAATACAGATAAGGAGTGACCTTGATCAAAACGGGAGTTAAATACAATCTTTTCAGCTTGTGTTACATAATTCTAGCATGTGTTGCAATGTAATTTTTGTTTCAGTATCGTCCTATGAACAGAGAACCCAATATTTTATTCTCATCATATTATGCTATTTTATTTTAAAGAAAGAAAATTCTAGTCAGACCGATCATAAAATTTGTGCTATATGCATGGAAAGAGTGCAGTTTCTGATTACACAGTCTGAAAATGGTTTGAGAAGTTTAAGTATGGAAATTTCAGCCTTGAAGATGATGCCCATTCTAGGACCATCTTTTGTAAATAAGTTCCTACTAATCCTTTAGTGGTTGTGAGATAAAGCAATTCTGAGCTGAACTCATTGATGACTGTCAAAAGGTTAAAAAAAAAAAATACAACTCAAAATCCATGTTATACAGTTCAGGAAATATCAGACAGGCTAAATATTTAAAAAATACAGTACATGATCATTCTAAGAAGGTTGAGTATGTAAGCTGCTACAAGTACCCCATACTTTAACAAAACAGAACATGCTTGCTTGACTTTTGGCATGTGTTTCTTTGCTGAAAAGAAATTTAAAAAAAAAAAAAAAAAAACCCTCTTTGAAAGGGTTCATTATTGGAGATGAGAAGCAAATACTATACAATAATGTTACAAGAAAAAGATCATGGGGTAAGCCAAAAAAATTTCCTTCAGTAACATCAAAAGGGGGCTGCATGCCAAAAAAACTATGATGGGCTATAAAGAAATTGTATGCTATGCACTGCTGCCACCAAATCAGATATATAATACTGTTCCCATATGGCAATTTTAAAAGCAGAAATCAAGGAAAGTACTGAAACTGACTGCACATCGGTGGTTTTGAGGTTCAGTGGTAATCCAAGTTTGTCGAAAATGTGATGGTTCAGCAAAACATATCCGTTTTCATATCAATAAATCAAATTCAATAATCATCAATCAATAAAATATAAATTGATTTAATTAAATATAATATATCTCAATATCTCAGAATCTCACAACTGCGTCACACCTTCTACCGAGCAACTGCATCGAATCTCAGCACACAATCAATGGTGCTCTCAGCGCCCTCTAGCGTTAGGCGGGTCTTACCACTGACAATGACAATGCTTGGTCTCACATTCCAATAAATGTCAAACAACAACTTAGTGAGTAAGGTATTTTCCAGCTGCCAAGATGAGCCAAAGAGATGGCTACAGAATAAAATGATTCTAATGCAATTCAATGAAATTTTATGTTTTTGCACTGAAACATTTGTAATTATCATAAATAAAATCACAAAATTTCCCAGATGTCCGAATAATATATTTGAAGGCATTTACTTTTGTATCACAAAAATATGTGATAATATTTTACTGTTAAAATATAGTATTACTGTTATAATAGGTCATTGCTCTCCAAGCAAAATATTTATGTCAAAGACATAATAAGTCAGCGATGACAACGACACAACTGTTGAAGATTTCTAGATGCGTATCTCTCAGC